AATCAATTTGTTCTTCATAATCCCTTCACCTTTTTCACCCATTCCCCCAACCCCACTCCCATCTGGCAACCAAGAAAATGTTCTCTGTATCTATGAGAATGTTTCTGTTCTGCCTGTTCATTTTGTTTGTAGATTCCATTGCCAATAGATATGTATTCATTGCCATTTTGTTTGTTCATATATTTTATCTTTTTCTTCAAGAAGACCCTTCAACATTTCATATAATAACAGTTTGGTGGTGATGAACTCCTTTAACTTTTTTCTTGTCTGGAAAAGTCTTTATATAGCCATCGATTCTAAATGACAGCTTTGCAGGATAGAGTAATCTTGGCTGTAGGTCCTTGCTTTCCATCACTCTGAATATTTCTTGCCACTCCCTTCTGGCCTGCAAAGTTTCTTCTGAGAAATTATGGGGGGAACTCCCTTGTAGGTGACTAACTGCTTTTCTCTTGCTGCTTTTAAGATTCTCTTTGTCTTGAACCTTTTGTATTTTGATGATGATGTGTCTTGGTGTAGGCCTCTTGGGGTTTATCTTGTTTGGGACTCTCTGTGCTTCCTGGACTTGTATGTCTGTTTCCTTCACCAAGTTAGGAAAGTTTTCGGCCATTATTGTTTCAAATAGGTTTTTGATTTCTTGCTCTCGCTCTTCTCCTTCTGGCACCCCCAAGATGCGAATGTTGGCATGCTTGAAGTTGTCCCAGAGGCTTCTTACACTCTCCTCAGTTTTTTGGATTCTTTTTTCTTTTTGGTGTTCTGATTGGGTGTTTTTTGCTTCTTTGTATTCCTAATCGGTGGGTTGCTTCTTGGCTTTACCTACTCTACTATTGAATTTGTGTAAATTATTCTTTATTTCAGTTAGTGCCTCCTTCATTGCTGATTGTGTATTTATCATTTCTGACTGGTCCTTTTTTATGCTCTTGAGGCCCTCACTAAGTTTATTGAGCATCCTTATAAGCAGTATTTTGAACTTAGTATCTATTAGGTTGCTTATCTCCATTTCGCTTAGTTCTTTTCTTGGGGTTTTGTTCTGTTCTTGCATTTGGGACCTGTTTCTTTGTCTCCTCATTTTGGCTGCTTCCCTGTGTTTCTGTATATTACTTAACAAGAGGTATGGGGCTATCTGAGACCAGATTCTGCTTGTTTGAAAGAATTTAGGAAAATCTGAAGCAGGATCCAAGACAGGCCAATCCTATGGTTAAGCAACTGGCAACAGCTTGGGTGGGCCTGAAAGTTGGGTGGGGCGGGGCCTCATGGAATCACCAGGGTGGGGCAACAGTGTGAGCCAGGTTGCTGGAGTCCCAGATATGGCGACTGTCTGTCGCCCCAGGGAAGGGCTCACCAAAGGAACAAAGGCCCATGACAGCACGTTTGTCCCAGAGAAAGCCCCCTCTCCAGTCCTTGCTCCAGTGCCAAACAGCTCAGTTCTTACCTGTATGTCTCTGGTGCCCCTCGAGCTACCTCCCCTCCAAGCTTAGAGGGAACGAGTCTGATACGTCTGTGCGTGGGCCCTTTAAGAGGAGCTGCCTGGGGCTCCAGCTGCCTCAGCCTCCCTGAGCCTCAGTTCCCGCTGGTTTTTCCAGCCAGAAGTTATGGGGACTTCTCTTCCTGGCACTGGAAACCTGAACGGGGTGCCTGTTGTGGGATGAGAACCCCTCAGTCCTCAGGGAGGACCTTCCCAGCTGAGGTGTCCTCCTGATTTTTATCCACCACATGTGGGTGTGAGACCAACCCGTCGAGCCTCCGCCCCTCCTACCAGTCTCGATGTGGCTGCTTCTTTAATTTCGTAGTTGTAGGACTTCCATTCATCTTGATTTCAAGTTGTTTTGAATGATGGTTTTTCTGTAGTTTAGTTGTAAATTTGATGTGATTGTGGGAGAACACGATACCGCATTTACCTACGCTGCCATCTTGACCGGAAGTCTTCTTCTTACAATTCTTTATATCCCTGTGGTGTCAGTTGTTACCTCACCCCTTTTACTTATGATTTTATTTATTTGGTTTCTCTCCTTTTGTTTCTTGATGAGTCTGTCTAAAGGTTCATCAATATTGTTTATCATGTCAAATAAAGGGCTCTTAGTTTCATTGATCTTTTGTATTGTATTTTTTGTGTCTATGTCATTCATTTCTCCTCTAATTTTTATTATATCCTTTCTTCTACTTGTTTTAAGCTTTCCTTGTAGTTACTGCTAATTCTTTTAGTTGCATGATTTGATTATTCATTAGAACTTTTTCTTATTTCTTGAGGCAGGTCTGTAAAACTTCCCTCTTATCACTGCTTTTGTTGTGTTCCATAGATTTTGTGTTGTTGTGTGTTCATTTTGATTTGTTTGGAGGAAGTTTTTGACTTGTTCCTTGATCTCACTCTTAACCCATTCATTGCTTAATAACATCCGTTTGAATTTTTGCTTTTTATTGTAGTTAATTCTAGTTTTATGCCATTGTAATTCAAGAAGATGGTTGATATGATTTTAAACTTTTTGTATGTCTGGAGACTGTTTTGCGTCCTAACATGTGATCTATCTTTATGAATGTTCCATATGCACTTGAGAATAATGCACGTTCTGCAGCTTTACATTGAAATGTTCTGTAAATGTCAATTAAATCCATCTGATCTAGTGTTTTGTTTAGGATTGCTATTTTCTTCTTGATTTTTTTACTGGAATATCTATCCAGTGATATCAATGCAGTGTTAAAGTCTTCTACTATGATTGTATTGCTGTCTTTCCCTCTTTGACAGTCCTCCAGAAGTTGTAAAAATATATTTAGGTGCTCCTATATTGGATGCTTATATGTTTACCAGGGTTATATTCTCTTGATATGACCCTGTTAGTACTACTTAGTGACTTTCTTTGTCTCTTGTTATAGTCTTTGTTTTAAAGTCTATTTTGTCAAATATAAGTATGCAAATTTCCATTTGCTTAGAAAATTTTTTTCATCCCTTCATTTTTAACCTTTTATAGACAGCATATATTGGGTCATGTTTTCTTATCCATTGAGCTATCCTGTGTATTTTGATGGAAACATTTAAGCCATTTACCTTATGCTATTATTGAGAGGTACTCATTTATTGCCATTTTTATTTTTTATGTCTATAATCCTCTTTCTCTCTATTTCCACTCCGTTCAACAGTCCCTTTAGCATTTCTTGCAATTCTGGTTCGGTGGTAATAAACTCCTTTGACCTTTTATATTTGTTTGTTTTTGCCTGAGGAGCTCTTTATTTCATTTATAATTCTGAATGATAGACTTGCTGATAGAGTAGTCTTGGTTTCAGATCCATGCTTTTTGTTACTTTTAATGTTTTATATCATTCCCTTCTGGCCTATAGTGTTTCTGTTCAGATGTCAGCTGACAGCATTATGGGAGCTCCTTTTTAGGTAACTGAGTTTCTCTCTCTTGCTACTCTTAAGAATCTCTTTGTCTGTAATGTTTGTCATTTTAATTTTGATGTGTTTTGGTGTGGGTCTCCTTGTATTCCTCTTGACAAAAACTCTCTGTGCTTTCTGAACTTGTGTAACTTTTTCTTCACCAATTTAGGGAAATTTTCTGTCATTATTTCTTCAAACAATTTCTGTATCCCTTGCTCACTTTCTTATCTCTCTTGTACCCCTATGATGTGGATATTGTTACATTTTATATTGTCCCAAAGTTCCCTTATACTCTCCTCATGCTTTTTAAGTGTTTTTTTTTTCTCTTTCTTTGTGTGTTCTAGTAGAGTGTTTTTTTCTACTTTGTCTTCCAAATTAGTAATTCACTCCTCTGCTTCATCAAGCCTTCTATTAATTCCTTCCAATGTATTATTGATATTGAATATAGTATTCTTAATTTTTGACTATATCTTATTCATGGTTTCTATGTCCTTTTTCATGTTTATGAAGTTTCCACTATGTTCCTTGTTGTTCCCATTAAGTTCCTTGTAGTTCTCACTATGTTTTTTGGGCATTTTTATAGCCATTACACAGAACTCTGTGTCTGATAACTTGCTTACCTCCATCTCATTTAGGTCTTTTCCTTGAGATTTCTTCTTTCCTTTTAATTGGGCAGTCATTTGTTTGTTTGTTTTGTCTCTCCATTTTAGTTGTCTCTTTGTATTTGTTTCTATGTATTATATATACCTGCTATGACTCACAGTCTATGTAGGATGGACTTTTGTAGTAAATGTTCTGTGAGATCTTGAACTTATGAGCTGGATGCTCTAGGTGTGATGCTTTTGTGGGTTATTTGAACTTTCCTGTTGTAATTGGGTCTTGATCATTGTTTTCCTATTTGTGTGTGGGATCTCTTCTCTGGCTGGCTAATTGTGAGGCTCAACCATGATCACATTATGGAAGCTCTTGTACAGGTGCTGATAGCAAAAAACAAAACAAAACAAAACAAAACAAAAGAAACAAACAAAAAACATACAAAATATTCTGATAACAACAGCAAAATCAACCAAAAAAGAACAGAAAATTAAAAACCAAAAAAGAGAAAAAATATAGTATAAAAATATAGTAAACAAAAAAATATAGTAAACAAAAAAAGAAAGAAAGAAAGAAAGAAAGAAAGAAAGAAAGAAAGAAAGAAAGATGGAGATTCCAAGATGGTGGAAGATGAAGTGGAAACTACACTGACTTCCAGGACCAAACTGGAATTTCAACTAAAATAGAAAAAAATCATCTTGAATAACAAACAGAGACTATCTTGAGGGAACCCTTCTAACCAAGGATATAAAGAGGAGACCATGTTGAGTCTGGTAGAGAGTGTGGAGGCATGAGAGGGCTGGCTGGGATCCCACAGGCAGCCACTAAAGGGCTGTCAGGATATCTCATCTGAAAAATCTGGGGTCTAAACCCCAGGCAGCAACCCCAGCCCGCACCCCCAGCCCAGAACCAGGAAAAGTGCCCACATAACCTCTAGCTGTGAAAAGCAGTGGAGGTTCTGTTTGACAGGTAAAGACAGGTAGAAACACAAGCACACTCTTAAAGGGCCAATGCACTAAATTTTGTTTGCATTACTCACCTTGGGCTCTGGCAGAAGGAGGGCAGAGTGGATTAGAGCTGAATAAGAAGTCTGGCATTGGTAGATCTGAGAAGAGAGCTGGACTGACTGCTGCCAGTGTCACTATTCTGTCATTTCCCCATGCTGCAAAAGCCATCTTTCTCAGGCAGGGTTTTGCCATCAATTTCAGCTTTAGCCTGGGAAGGGGGTGAAATAGTTCTACTCTTTGGAAACCCTCTTGCCCCACCCTGTGAAATTTATGCCTTTACGAAGACTACAACATAAGGCTCATTAAGTGACTGAGACTAGCAGTCAGTCTACAGGTAGAGGCAGATCTCTGGGTATTTTGATTCTTTCTCTTACCTGCTGTTGGTCCCAGGGCTAGTCAAAGTAGAACTTGGTGTGCGGGTAGGCCATAGCAGATTTACCTAGTACATAGAAACAAACCCAAACAGGCAGCTAAATTGGGGAGACAAAGAAAGAAGACCCAGATGAAAGAACAAGGGAATTCTCCAGAAGAAGAGCTAAATAAAATGGTGCTAAACAATTTATTAGATATAAAATTTAGAGTAATGATTATAAGAATGCTCAACAGCTTGAAAAAAGACATAGAAACTATGAAAAACAAGTCAGAAATGAAGAATGACAGCAGAGATAAATAATACACTAGAAGAAATAAACAGTAGATTAAAGGATGCTAAAGATGGAATCAGTAAATTAGAAGACAGGGTAAAAAAAAATCACCCAATCAGACCCCCCCCCCCCACCAAAAAAAAAAAAAACAATAAAAACAAAACAGAAGAACAGTTAAAGAGAGCTGTTGGGCAATATGGAATGTAACAATATTAGCATCACAGGAATACCCAAAGGAGAAAAAGTGATACAGACCTATTTGAAGATATAATGGCAAAAAACTTTCCTAATCTTTTGAAGAAAAGAGTCACACAAGTTCAGGAAGCACAGAGAGTCCCAAGCAAGAAAAAGCAAAAAGGCCTATACCAAGACACATTAAAATTAAAAGACCAAAAATGGAAGAGAAACAGAATACTAAAGGCAGCAGGAGGAATTTACAGAGAAGCTCCCATAAGGCTGACATGTAGTTTTTAAAACTAGCAATGCAAGAAATGTTAAAGAGACTACTGTAATAATAAGAAGAAAAATAAAGAGAGAGAAACATAGGCATAAAGAATAAAAATGGCGATAAATAAGTACCTATCAATAATAACCTTAAATGTAAATGGATAAGTGCCCCAATCAAAGACATATCAGAATGAAGAAGAAAACATGACTCATGTTTTTTTCTGTGTGTAAGAGATCTACCATAGAACAAAAGATTCACACAGGATTCAAGTAAAGAAATGGAAAAAAATTTTTTTCATGCTATTGGTAATGAAAACAAAAAATCAGGGTTGGCAATACTTATAGATGACAAAATAGACAAAGAAAATGCCATATCAAGAACCAAACAATGTCACTATATACTATTCAACAGACTAATTCATCAAGAGGATAGAACCCTGGTAAACATATATGCACCCAATATAAGAGGACCTAAATATATTAATATATTTTAAGAGAACTTTAAGGGAGAGATCAATAGCAATACAGTCATAGTAGGGGACTTTAACACCACACTGACCTCACTCAATAGATTTTTAAGACAAAATATCAACAACAAAAAAACAGTGACTCTAAATGACACACTAGATGAGATGGATTTAATTGAACATTTTATTCCTATTCTGCAGAATATACATTCATTTCAAGTGTAAATAGAAAATTCTCAAAAGTGGACCACATGTTAGAATACAAATTAAGTCTCTCCAAGTTCAAGAAGATTGAAATTACATCAAACATTGTCTCGGATAACAATGGCATGAAACTAGAAATCAACTATAATAAAAATACTCTAAAAAATTCAAACATATGGAGGCTAAATAATATATTATTAAACCATGAATGGGTTACTAAGGAGATCAAGGAAGAAATTAAAAACTTTCTTAAAACAAATCAAAAGGAATATGACAACAACACAAAATCTATGAGACCCAGCAAAAATGTCCTGAGAGGCAAGTTTATAGCACTACAAACCTACCTCAAGAAACAAGTAAAATCTCTAATAAACTAACCCTACAGCTAAGAGAATTAGAAAGAGAACAACAAGAAAAGCCCAGAGTAAGTAGAACGAGGGAAGTGATAAAGATCAGAGAGGAAATTAATGGCACAGACTAAAAAAATGATACAAAAGATTAACGAAAGCAAGAACTGTTTCTTTGCAAAGATAAACAAGATCAATGAATGTCTAGCCAGACTCAACAAAAAACAGAGAAGACCCAAATAAATAAAATCAGAAGTGAAAGATTTTCACAACTGACACTACAGAAATACAAATACTGTAAGATAATGTTACAAACAACTGTAACCTTATAAATTGGATAACCTTGGTGAAATGGACAAATTCCTAGAAATATACAATCTTTGATAACTGAATCAGGAAGAATCAGTTAATCTGAAAAGGCCAGTAACAACAGTGAAATTGAAGCAGTAATAAAAAAACTCACAGCAAACAAAGGTCCTGGTGAAGATGGCTTCACTGGGGAGTTTTACTAAATATTCAAACAAGAACTAACACCCCATTTTTAAACTTTTCCATAAAATTCAAGAGTAAGGAAGACTTTGAAGCTCTTTTTATGAAGCCAGCATATCCTAATTCCAAAACTAGACAGAGACACTACAAAAAAACACAAAAATTATAGGTCAATATCCCTAATGAACATAGATGCCAAGATTCGCAATAAAATACTAGCAAATCAGATCCCCCATCATATTAAATAGATATTCACCATGACCAAGTGGGATTTATCACAGGAATGCAGGGCTGATTCAATATTTACAAATCAATAAATGTGATACAAAAACAATTTTCTTTAAATCATTTAAACAAAATAAAAGATACAAATTATATGATCATGTCAATAGATGCAGAAAAAAACATTTGACAAAATCCAGAACCCATTTTTGATAGAAGCCCTGAGCAAAATGAAATAGAGGGATCATACCTCAACACAATAAAGATCATATATGAGAAACCTACAGCTAACATTATACGTAATATGCAAAAATTAAAAACCTTCTCTTTAAGAACAGGAACAAAATAGGGATGTCCAATTTCACCAGTCTTATGCAACATGGTACTGGAATTCTCAGCCACAGCGATCAGAGAAGAAGAAAAAGTAAAAGATATCCAAATTGGAAAGGAAGACGTGAAATGATCATTCTTCACAAATGACATGTGTTGTGTATAGAAAACCTTAAAGACTCAATTAAAAAACTACTAGATTTATCAGACTTCCAGTCAAGAAGGCAGCATAGGTAAATGTGGTACTTACCTCCTCTCTCAACCACATCAAAATTACAACTAAACTACAGGACAACCATAATTCAAAACCACCTGAAAACAAGTTGAATGGAAGTCTTACAGCAAAATTAAATAAGAAACCACACTGAAACTGGTAGGAGGGGCAGAGGCACAGATAGGCTGGTCTCACACCCAAGTCTGGTGGATAAAAATCAGGAGGATACCTTAGCTGCAAAGGTCCTCCCTGAGGAGCAAGGGGTTCCCATTCCACACCAGGTCACCAGCTCAGGTTTCCAGTGCCAGGAAGAGAAGTCCCTATAACGTATGGCTGGAAGAACCAGCAGGAACTGAGGCTGAGGGAGGCTGAGGCAACTGGAGCCCCAGGCAGTTCCTCTTACAGGGACAGTGCATGGACTTACTCAGACTTGCTCCCTTTGAGCCCTAGCATGGTAGAGGCAGCACAAAAGGCACCAAACACATAATGGGCAGAACTGAGTTGTTTGGCATTAGGGCAAAAGCTGGAAAGGCAGTTTTCTTCTAGATGAAATGTTGGTGGAGGCCATTGTTCCATGGGTGAGTCCTTCCTCCATGAGGCCAGCAGATGGGCACCATATCTGGGACTCGAGTAACCTGGCCACACTGTTTGTTCTGCCCTGGTGATTCCCTGAGGCCCTGTCCCACCCAACTTTTATCCTCCCCCCTCCACAGCTATTTCCTGTGGTTTTACCATAGAAATGGCCTGTGTTGGTTCCTGTTTCAGATTTTCCTAAAGTCTCTCAAAAAAGTAGCATCTGCCACAGTGAGCCCCATACCTATCACTAAGTGGCCCCAGGCCCTGCACTCGGAGAAGCCAGCCTTGGTTCACAGCTTGGCTTTGCCTTGGCACCTCCAAGCCCTGCACAAGAAGCAGCCATATGAAGACTGCTTTGTAGCTTATGCCTGGTAGCCCCAGGTAGAACACAGGCAGTGGCTGACCTTGCCCCAGAGCTGGCACACCTAGTGGACAGTGTCAGACCACAGCAAAGCACCACCACCCAACCACCTCCACAAGTGACACATTCAAGGAATGGACCCAGTAAGTAGTAGAGCCCTGCTGAAGTAAGTCTTGCTCTGTGTCATGGGCCCTGCACAGCTGATTATCCAAGGCAGTCAGAAGTCAGTGGTTAGTGGGCACTGCCAGTCCTTGCAGCTGATAATTCTGAGTAAAACCCTCCCATTTACATGTGAACAGTAATCAAGACTCAATTACAGCAGAAGGGTGTAAAGTCCACATGAGGGGTACACCTTAAGGACCCAGCTGGGTGACCAGGGAGGTTGTGCCACTGGACCCTACAGGACACTTACTAGAATAGGCCACCCTAGGAAGCCCAGGAGTCATAGCAACTCTACTTAATACATGGAAACAAACACAGGGAGTCACCCAAAATGAGGAGACAAAGAAACCTCTCCCAAAATGAAAGAACAGAACAAAACTCTGGGGAAAAAATACTAAACAAAATAGAGATAAGCAATCTAAAAGATGCAGAGTTCAAAACACTGCTTATTAGGATGCTCAATGAACTTAGTGAGGGCCTAAAGAGCACAAAAAAGGACCAATCAGAAATGAAGGATGCACAGTCAGAAATTAAGGAGGCATTAACTGAAATAAAGAATAATTTACAGAGATCCAACAGTAGAGTAGGTAAAGCGAAAAGGCAAATCATCAGTTTGAAATATAAGGAAGCAAAAAACACCCAATTAGAACAGCAAAAAGAAAAAAAAAATTCACAAAATGGAGAATTGTGTAAGGAGTCTCTGGGACAACTTCAAGCATACCAACATTTGCATCTTGGGGGTGCCAGAAGAAGAAGAGAGATAACAAGAAATTGAAAACCTATTTGAAACAAAAATGACAGAAAACTTTCCTAACTTGGTGAAGAAAACAGACATACAAGTCCAGGAAACACAGAGAGTCCCAACCAAGGTGAACCCCAGGAGGCCCACAACAAGACACATCATCATCAAAATGCAAAAGGTTCAAGACAAAGAGAGAATCTTAAAAGCAGCAAGAAAAAAGCAGTTGGTTACCTAT